AGCTTGAATCATCACCATTTATGGATGGTGTACCGATTGATTTGATTACCGGAGTATTAGCTGAACCAGGCCATTTTGTTGCTTTCACTTGTACAGATAAAGTCTTATCTGTTTATAATTCACTATACCCAGGAAAGGTAACAACAACTGAATGGCAAGCAGTACTACATATCCGTACCATCCTCATCCCTCAATTCATTTATATCCTACGCAACAACAATCTTCTGCTAGCAATAACTGTTCACTATTCGCAATAGCGATATTAGCTGAACTTCAATTAGGTCATGGATATTCGACAAGTATAACATTTGACGAAAATAAATTACGATCGCATACCTTTTTGTGTTTAGAACAGAATGAAATAAAACCCTATCCTAAAACAAGTAAAAATTGTGTTAGAAAACCAAAGACACGATTGATCAAAATACCAAAATAAACAGATTGTTTCTTTGTGTTGGTTGATAAACTATTACATCATTATTCTGTTACGAATTTCTTAAGGTATCTGTTCATTTTTCGAAAATCTCGCAGTTGTTTTTGCTTATACGCATGTATATATATATATGTATCAGAGCTCCGTATGGACTGGACTGAGTCCATAGTCCAATCCAGTCCAGTCCATGTGGACTGGACTGGACTCAGATTTTTTGGATTTCATGGACTCGAACTGGACTGGACTAGACTTTTTTAGTCCATGGACTGGACTGGACTCAAAAATTTGAGTCCATACGGAGCTCTGATATGTATATATACATTTTCTTATATAATTATAATTATTCAAGCTTGAATCAACTTTTTCTCGTGTTAGTATGTTTTTCTAATTTTGTGGGATCATAAAAATACTATTTTTCTAAGTCAAAAACGATTTAGAACAGAAATAAACTTCATATTTTGGGCGGAGGCGGAAATTTACTAAAATTCTGGCTTAATTTCTAGCGGCGGAAAATTACTAAGTGACGGAGGCCGAAAATTACCCACGACCGAAAAATATCGATCGGTTCTTCTCTTCTTTAAAAAAATATTTTTTTCTAAAAATTGTTGTTGAAATAACATTCGTTATGTCGGTATTTCATCGAACAGAATTATCCATTCCAATAGATCACCATTATTTATATCTGTAATAAAATAATAATTATCGTTGGTGCGTCGAAAAAGTTGATGACTTTTTTCAGTACGAGCTTCTTCAAACGGTGTCAAATTGTGTATATTTCTTATTGATCGCTATGCACCATGTGCTAACAGTAATTTAACACTTTCATCATACTCATAGTAAGCAGAAACATGTAAAGGTGTACTACTATTTGATTCGTGTTGTTGTTAATTTGTCTAATTGTCATATCGCTTATGTAACTTTTTATTTTATCAATCGCATTATTTTTGCAATCATCATACAAGTCATGCAAATTATTGTTTGTGATATCAGTATCACATCGAAGTGACAGTTGATTCTCACATTTAACAACAACTTCTTTGTTATCGCCTGTGATTCAATTCAACAAATCAATTGTGTCAATGTTTCTCTTTCTTCAAAATCAATGATGAACAGTGCACTGACAATAAAATGAAGCCAATCCTGTGTGATTGTATACTTATCCTGTATGACGACGGAGAGTATAGTTAATTGTTTTTTACAAGCATATCGCAAAGTTGCCTTATAAAAATTACTACGTTTATAATTCTCGTCAAATATACGATACAATAATTAATATTCTCTGTAGACATTTATCATTGAATTTCCTCTGTTACAATCTACTGTTGGAAATTCGTGCAACCATGGACGTATACCATGTCCACGTAATGTTTTTGTTAATTTATCAACTTGCTCAAAATCTCTATAATCATAATTTAGTATAACATGAAAATCGATTATTTCAATACAATTATCATCTGTTCATCTCCGGGCTTCATTTTCATGTTCTTTTCGTAATTGTGTAAGACCTTGATGATCACCCAAATTCCAAAATATTCCCCAAATAGCTGGATTAATACTGTATTTGTACAAACCGATTGTTGATTGACCTTTATTGATCAACCTTGATTGACCTTCTCAGTGGTGACAAAAATGATGTATCTTGTATTTGACGTTCCATTTGACGATGAAACGATAATGTCCAAAAGATTTCATATTTTTCAGGGAAATGAGTTTTATCCAAGTTAATGAATACATCAACTTTATTTAATTTTATGCTATCCTGTTGTATCAGATCATTTTTAATTACGTTGCAAAAATAAGACAAATACCTTTTCATATTGTAATGTTCTACAGAGCCTCGATCTTAACCTAAACGAGTAGATGTCATTTCAATTGGTATCCAGTACAGAAGTGCTATTTTATCGGCTATACATAACTGATCTATAATAGTGTCGTTCAGTAGTACGGATAGTAGTGATAAAACACGATCATATAGTGATGGATAAAAATCAGTTATTGATGCAAATGAATATATTGAATTTATAGTATTTGTCGTGCGTAAAAGACGTAGAATTGCATATTTTATCTTTTCATTATTCGTTATCAACATTACAAACACGTACGCGAGCAAAAAATTGATAGAAAACAAATGTTCATTTTGACGATGATAATGATTATATGAAAGCTATGATAATTATTTTGAATTATGAACCGTTTCAATATAAATTATTATCAATGTGGTCGAATCATGAAACCGTCGTCATTGATATGATTGAGAAGAATAGATGTTTTCATAATACTCTGCTATCAATGAAAATTAAACAAGCGATACAATTCAAAATCTTCGGCGACCATTGTTCAGTAATCGACTGAACATGAAAAATAACAAGTTTTCTACTGTAATAAAGTAATGGTTCCACAATATCTATCCAATTTTTTAAATTTGAAATAAATGCATAATAAAATGAGCATGAACTCAGATAAAATAGTTCAATAGGAGTTATTTCCATATCAAAATGGCAATGCTTTGCGACACATTGCCGATACATTGAATTCATAATACAGGCACTCTAAAAATAATGCGACTTCTAAGAAGAAGCGGAAGTCGGTTCCCATTTAGTCGCATAATTGTGCCTGTTTGCAAGACACATCATGCCACTACCTGTGGTAGTCACCACAATCCGTCTACTTCTAAGTCACATGGAAGATACTGAAGTCGGTTCCCATTTAGCCACATTAAAAAAAGTTTTCGTTCCTGTCAAGAATTGAACTCGGTCTGTTCGCTTACCAGACGAATGTGTTCATCACTGAACCATACAGGCACATTAATTAATTATTAGTCTTATTGGCCTCTTACGTTGACGTTTCATGTTAGACATTAAAAACTTAGTAGAGTCACATGGAAGGCGGGAAGATGTGACTACTAAGCGTCTTTCTGGTTCACATGTCTTCCATGCGACTTCTATATGTCTACCAGTAGACACATTAAAGACATATAGAAGACGTCTATTATTTTGAAGACGCACTGTAGTCATACAAAAGACACTTTTTCTCGATAGACATATCGCTGAAGTCGCATTTCTTTTTAGAGTGTGCTGTAATGGCTTTTGTCGGTGAATCTTGAGTTCTCAAGTGTGCATTTTCTATACGTAAACAATGCAGAATATGCAAGTGTATCAAGTCAAAGGAAAATAATTGATAGAACTGATGATTCAGGCTTATTATGAGAACTATTGACACTCTGATTCCGTATTATTGACTCAAATATGGACATCAAACGCTTGTCAAATAACAACGATTCACACTCCCACATATTATTCCACGGTCGTTATCTGGTTGCGCATCAACAATCATTATATTTAATTGCCCAACATTATTTAAAAACTCCAATTCATGTTCATCGATTTGATTTTTCTGATTAAATCGATTCCATACGGAGCAGGCAACTTTTTGAACTATCATTAGTATATTTTCAGTATGTCTGTTTACTGCCCGTAAAATTTTAACTACAGGAACTTGTAACCATGTGATTGTGAAGGCATTCAATTTTTCAAGAGTATCTTTGTCTAACTCTCGTATAATTTCTTCTATCTGCTTAGAACTCTCCACAGCAGGTAAATAATTTATACTTAATAATTCGACAATTCTTTCATTAATGCCATCCATTTTATCTTATTTTTTCTGAAAAATCAATCATTCACTGAATCAAAGTGAATGTGGTTATTTTTTCTTACTCCAATGAAATTAATATCGTGCGTGCATTGAACGTTTTCTTCTACGCTTCCTAAAAAGACAAGTAAATGACAAAGATATTGAAGGGTGATAAAAAAGTCATTCTAGTAATGAAAGATTGTACATTTTGTCTTGTTCCAAACACTGACTCTCGTATCTTCACATTACGACTTCACTTTCTATTTTTCAATTGTCAACAAACGCATTCTTATGCATAGCCTATGAACGAATCTTGAAACGAAAAATAGAAAAATAAACTTCAGTGATTTCTTTTTTGTTTTATAAAAGTTATTTTTCTTTCTTTTTTGCTAGCCTGTACTGTCGTTAAGTCTTCAAGCGTCAATAATAAGAAATATTCGTTTGATCACATTTCAATGAAATCATGTATTATTCTGAAGCTGTTCCCTTGAAATACGACATAAAAAAATGAAAAAATTGTTCATAGCCTGCAGTAAAAAAAGCGTGTTTTTTTTTATTCAAATGATTTTACTGGTGCTTATTTTTCTAAACAAAATGAGGGAGTTTTTTTTTAATGGAATTTTACTTTATTTTTAAAGAAACAACGACAAAAGAAATTCCTATCTCCCTTGACGAGTGTAAATAATCTTATTTTTTTTCAAAACTAATGAATCAAGTATTACTCAAGTAATGTGCAAGAAGCGAAGGTTAATATAACTATTTTGCGAGAAATCAGAGTCATTTTAGGTTTGAATTTATTCAGAAGACAACCTTTTTAGCAAATTTTTATTGGAGATCGATGAATTTATATATCAGCCGTACTTTTATAGCTCAATGAGAAAATCAAGTGTCAAGGTTTTGTTATTGTGGTGGTGGTGCTTTCTGTAAGTAAATCACTTTGACCGTGTTTCAAGCCGTGTTGCAACTAACTTCTTTTTGTCCTAAATTTTGTTTAACGAAAAGACTGAGCAATGCTCAACAGACGGGTACGTTGATTTAGGTTTCCGAGCAAGAGAAAGCTCTCTACTTTTCTTGCCACTTTTTCAAGACATTTCCACCTGTACGCCTACATCCTGTGGTGGTAACGGATTATCTTGTTCAACAAATGTAAATTGTGACTGCCTTCAAATGGTAAACAACAGCAGCACCGGGATCTGCGCATATACACTGATAGGCTGTGACGCATTAATTCCATGTTCAAACAATTACAGTTGCTCATTTTCGAACTCAGTTTGTGTTAACAGTACGCGTTGTCGACAAATGGTCTGTTACCCCTTGCAATTAGCTTCAACACTTGTCTGTCAAGTACAAACCAACTCCGAAACTACGCCATCGTTGGGTTCTACTTCGATAGATCCAGATTCATCTTCAACTAATCAATTCAGTGAGTTTCCTATCTACCAGTTTACTTGTCACTGATCTGAATAATTCCGAATCTAGATTCAACGGCAAAGCCCTTTCTGGTAAATAGTACGAAACAAGCAAGTGCAAGTACAACAATTACTATGACAGCTAAAAGTACAACAAGGGTAACGACGCGATCCTCTACTACAGCAAAGAGTACGACTACGACGAAGAGTACTACTACACCCAAGCCCACAACTACCGTCAAGGCCACGACAATCACGAAAGGTCAGCGCAAGACTTTATTTATTTAAAGCTCCTCTCGGAGATAACCATAGTCCTGACTTTTTGGGTAGGGGAAGGCGCATTTCTTCACTCATAAATATTTCTAATCAATTTCGTCGTTTTTCTAGTGCTAAGAAAGATTTTTGTGTGTGTAAAAACACCAAAAGTTCCTTCTACCGCAACCACTAGGCTTTCGTCAGCCTTTAGTTGTATGATAAATATATGCCCCATCAGTCTTGAGCATCTCAAGTTAGATTCGAATGAAAAAATGTGACCTAGAAAATACAACCTTAGGAGAGACGAGTGAGGTACGGGCTTTAGGAAACCGCTGTTCCCCACCCGCCGTAAGAATGCTATTCGGCACTGGCTGGTCCACGAGTAGCGATTCAAACACGTAAAAGGGCAGGCACGCAGGCAGTGTTTAAGCATTCTTGGAAATAATAACTTCCTTCTTCAGTTATTGCTGATATTCCGCCGCGCTGTTTTATTATACATCCTCGAGTTCAGGTACTCGAAAACGGGCTTGGGTGTGACTGTGCCATTGCAACAGGCACCTCCTGAAATCCACACCAGAGTTGGAACCGGCCGAGAAATCTGAGGCCGATGCGGTCCGGACGGACGGCAAATTTCTTAACCGGGGAAAACCGGCGAAAAGTAGCTGAGCTTTTACATTTTTTTTTGCAAAAAATTTGTTCATTGAAAAAAACTAAAATTTCCAACGTTTCGCGAGTTCACTTGTTTTATATGCATCTCTTTTCTATCCTTATACGACAGTTTTCCGCGACTGCTGATTCGTTCTATTAGTTTTGACTAAAATAAGACTTCTGAATTAAGTTTTCTTTGAACTTGCTCACCGGTTAGCAAAAACATGGAGAAAATAGAACGAAATAAAAATTTCTGCTTATCAAATCCAAGGAGACATTTGACGTTTCCGGTCGGTCAAAAACCGACGAAAACCGGCCGGCCGGACCGGTACCTGTTTGCCGGACCGGTTACAACTCTGATGCACACCTTTGTGCTGAGGCTAAGAGATCTAAGTTCACTATCTTCGCGGATGTCGGCTAAAAAACTAAAAGGCTAGCAATCCACTTCTTTTCAAAAATGACCGTTCAGGCCTTTCATGGATACTGCGACGTAAGCTTTCTCTCAATCTCTTCATTCGGATTCGTTATTTTGCCCTATTTCCAAGTCCTCTGCAGATTTTTTCATAAAGTTACGAATGTTCTATCAAAATTACTGTTTTTGCCGCTTCCACTCAAAAGGGCAATTTACACAAATGCGGCCAGGTGTACATTACAACCGCCTGAAATTTCGTCCGATCAAGCAAAAATTTTTACCACAAAATCTATACACCATTCCACAGGGGGAAATGTGTTTTGAAATAAAACTTGCATAATCCAGAGGTTATGATTTGTAGTTTCATAACACGGAAATTCAAAAGGAGTAAATGTTTTTTTGCTGTAATCCAGAGGGAACCAATGTTATACAGGACAAATTATCTGAGATATCCGGTCTAGTAGGTGTGGTTGTTTTCGCACCCCGATAGGTGAAATTTTAGAAAGTACGACGGGACAAAAGTTAAAAACCGAGTTATTCGAACAGTTCTCGAAAACTAATTGAACTTTAAAAATTTCAAACAGGTTGTGCCCAATTTTCGGCAAGCATCGTCGTGCAAAAACTTCAACTCTTTGCGATGCTTAGTGACGGAGCGGCAGATGTCTGCAATAGCCTATAGTCTGCTCTTAAGTAAATCACGCATTAATTTTCGTGCTTATTGGTCCGAGTTTTAATTGTCTCTTTTTTAAACGTAAGTAACATTTAGACTCGACCTAATGTAGACTCCATCTGCTCCACTAGCACCTAATACTACCACTGCCACTCCCCACACCACTCTCTGTGCAACTTCAATGTGGAATCAGTCTGCAGTTATTTATACCAACGCAAGCGACGGTTCATTATTGAATCATCCATCGGATGTGGCAATTGACAGCAAACAAAATTTATATGTCGCTGACTACTATGGTAGTAGTCGTATTACAAAATATTTTGCCAGCACTTCAAATCCTCCTGTCACGATAATCTTATCCAACTATATATCGAATTTGTTTGTCGATAAATTTGATAATCTTTACTTCACAACAGAAGCTTCCGTACAAATGTTAAATGTCTCAACTGGTCTCGTGAAAACAGTAGCTGGCAACGGCGAACAAGGATCAGCATTAAATCAGCTCAATAATCCGGAAGGTGTGTATGTAGATAAGAATCTCACAGTCTACGTTTCGGACTATTTCAACAATCGAGTGACGAAATGGTTGCCCGGTGCAACAACTGGTATTCAAGTTGCCGGAGGAAATCAAAGTGGAAGCTCTAATTCCACTCTGAATGGTCCTAGAGGCATTTTTGTTGACGAAATCAATGAAAAAGGAGCCATTTACGTATGCGAATGGGGCAATAGCAGAGTTGTGAAATGGCTTTCAGGGGCGAAAGAAGGAATTATTGTGGCAGTATCTCCTGACCCCTACTCAATCATTGTCGACTCAAATGGCATCATGTATATATCGGATATATCTACTGGTCTAGTTGTGAAGTGGATACGAAATTCAAATGCTCCACAAGTGGTTGTTGGTGGAGATGGAACAATTGGCCTTCCAAATGGTATCAAGTTTGACGTAAATTTCAATTTGTATGTTGCGGATCAAGTTATGAGTCGAGTTGAAAAGTTTTTTTATGAACCATCATCGTGTCCAAACAATGATTGAGTTACAGAAACTCGTCTTCCTAGTTTAACCAAAAAAAATACGTAGCAACTTCGCTGCCAAGTTAACGCTTTTCTTGAACGTGTGCTATGAAACAGTTTATTTTTTAATTTCTAATCCTCTCATTCTATTATACGGAACGTTTGATTAGTTATACATCGTTGGTTTATATTTTCGGGACATCGATTAAGTCAAAACCAGCTGACAAAAGATTTTTAAAGCGTTTCGCTCACTAGAAACTACCGATAGTCCACGCTTTATGAACAGTTCTTTCGCAAAGCAAAAAGCATCCCTCACTTTAAGATTCGTAAGGAATACAAACCTTTCGCGCAACTGTTTCTGAGTTTTCATTTGTAAAAGAACTTTTCCCGCATTTTACCTTCCCCCTTTCAAAAGAAATGTTTATTGCAGCCTTGTCATCAATTTTTTATTTTTTCATGCCGACTTGGCTTGCTCAAACTCATTCTGCTTTCATTGAAACTTCCTTCGTTATTGATCCAACCCATTTTTTTGAGCCGATAATTACTTACAACAAATACATTCAAATGCTTATAGAAGAAGAGCGAATATCGCAGAGATGGGCAAGTCTGAGTCTGGTCTTACGTCAAATTTTCGAGACTTAGACTTAAATTAGACAGATACATTAAATTTGCAGTTTTACTTGCGCTTTCGAATGAGACATAGCGCAAACCGAACGGATAAAAAACGGCGGAGTTATGGGCAAAATAGTATATGAGTCGATTTTTCTGGGTTTTCTCGACCTACTCACTTTGAAATGCCCATAATTCGGTCAAAGTAAGTTCAGACTCGCTCAAAATTTTTTCGTAACCCCAGTTTCTCATGTAGATTTCGAATATGGAAAAATATCTATAGGTTAATTGCTGTCATTAAACGGAGTTTTTCGACGGGCTCGCGAATCCTCTCTTAACCCTTTGAGTTCTGGTGGTACACATATGTACCACCTTGCGAATTTTCTAATCCACGAGTTTTCAGAATCTTGGAGAAATATTTTCAATAAATATTAGAAGCCCATAGAGGCCCGTATAAGCGTGCACGGATGATGAGATGTATGGATAATATTGAAAAGTGTACAATTAGGCATGCAACAGTACCAGTTCTTTACTGGTAAACTGGTACTGTTTAACTCGTTCTTACCGGTACCGGTTCCTTAACGGTTCACCAGTTCACGGTACCGGTTCCTTAACGGTTCACCAGTTCACGGTACCGGTTCACCAGTTCACGGTACCGGTTCACCAGTTCACGGTACCGGTTCACCAGTTCACGGTACCGGTTCACCAGTTCACGGTACCGGTTCACCAGTTCACGGTACCGGTTCACCAGTTCACGGTACCGGTTCACCAGTTCACGGTACC